TCCATTCATATAAATTTTTTACAAATGGTTTATTTTAAGTAAAGAAACAAAAAACAAAAAACAAAAATAGATGCTGTTTAAATACAAACTCAAGAATTAACTTCTTTTATAGCTTCCAATGTAAAGTTTAAAACTGACTATTATTAAGTAGAGCAGAGATTACAACAATTCTAATAACAATTCTTATAGTTTTAAAAAATGAAAAAATAATTATTCAATCTAATATCCAAAGCCAATTTCAAGTTAATCCATAAAAAATAATTCAAAATTAATAACTAATTTATTTAATACAATATTTTTGAGATTTAAAATAAAAAAAAACATTAGATTTAATCTCAAGAAAGTCAAAATATATTCTAATAACATATACAATAAACATATAAACCAACTTATTAAACAAAATTATTCAATTGTCAACAATTATATAAATTTTGACAAGTAGCAAATATATATAAATAATTATTATTTAATATAACAAGATAATTAATATAGCTTTTAGAAACTTTATTAAAAAAATTAATAAAACAGTTAATTTGAAAATATAAATCAAAACAAAAAAAATATAATATCTATTTAATTGTTAAATTAATTAACAAGAAAAGTTTTTTAAAAAATAATTCTAAAGCAATCTTAAGTTAAATAGATTAATTATATTTTTTAAAGAATATAAAAGAAAAAGCTTTTGAATAAAATAATATATAATAAGCTATCAAAATTAAATAAACTTGAAATAAAAAAATTTTGATTATATAAAACATATAACAATTATAGAGTTTGTAATAAACTAGAAATTGTTTTTTTATATATTTAATACTAAAGGAATTTATTAGCAAGGTTTGGTCCATAGCTATAGAAAAGTTTAAAAAGAATTTTAAAACCTTATTAAAAACTTATCAAATATATTATATATTGCTAATATAAAACTATTTATACTTATTTAACTCAAAAGATCTTTAGGAAAAAAAAAAGTTAAACTTTACAATTGAATTAATATTAAAGAATTTAGTTATGAAAGTTCAAAATTTAATAAATATAAAACAAGTCATTTAATTTAAAACTTAACAGCTACTTTATAAAGTTACTCTAAACTTTTAAAAGAATTTTAAAAAATTAATATGGAAATACTAATATAATATTATAGTAAAACTAATCAAATTCTAGATTTAAATTTAAAAATTAAAAATATCTAAATATAGAAGATCTCAACAATATAAATTAATATTATTAAATCAAATTCTGAAATTAAAGATTCTATATAAAAATCCTTAAGAAAAACAAAAATCTTTAAAATCCAATTTTCAAGTAATCAAAGTAAAAAGAAAAAATAAAGTATATGAAAGATAATATTTAATTTAAAACATATATTAATAAATAGATATAATTAAAAAACTAATAATTAAATTTATAGAATATAGTAAAAAAATAAATAGTGCTAAATTAAAAACTTAATTTAAATTTATAGTATATAATCTATATAGTGCATTAAGTCTATAGATAACAAATTTTAAAAACAATATTTAAAGATTAATAATTTTGATTAAAGATATATTATTTTAAAAAGGTTTTTATATTATAATAGGTTTTGATAAGCTTTATAAAAATATAAAGAATTTTTATAATTTGTTTCTTTATTTTTTCAGTTATTATAGTTTGAGATTGACTTGTTTTAATAGAAAAATCTCAAATTGACCTGGTTATAATATTATATAAATTGATAATAAATCAATCAAATTTCAATATTATATATTATATGTATTTAGAAAAATTAAGCATCAAAAAAATTTCAAAACTAGTTAACAAAATTATTTACATATATATTATTAAAAATAATTTATAAAAAATAAAATATAATATAAAAGAAATCTCTTTCCGCTGATCCCTTTGCCAACCCAAAAAACAGACGTTCTCAAAAATATTTTTTATTTTTGATAATAAAGTTTATACACTTTCCTTAAAAACATTATTTCCTGAAGGCAGGTGCCTTCCCCACTTATCTACTTTTCCTTCTTCTAAAAACTTTGGATATTTCTATAACAAAATAAACAAAACTTTATTCATTTAGTTTATAGCAAGAACACCTTATTGGGAAGAAGAAACCTATCGAAAAAATATCCTCCACTATATTCTTCCTAGGTCTGGAACTCCAGAAAGTAAATCACTAGTAAATGCATTTCCCAAGCTCCATAAGAACCTTGGGTCCACCATAAGTAAACAACCTTTGATCTAAAGGCAAGTGGATAAGCTAGTTGGGCCTATCAAGTGAATGCATTTCCCAAGCACCATAAGAACCTTGGGTCCATCATAAGTATTATACCTCACTATGAGACAGGTGGATAAGCTGGTAGGAATCTATCAATTCAGGTGTATGAACTTTCTTTACCATTCATATATGTCTGTGATAGTACTTTCAAGCATGGCAAATTTTTTTGGATTTTTTCTGGGGAATTTTGCCTATCTCAGTTTGATCTTGAATTTTTTGTTATACTGGAATCTCTGATTGGTGATTGGCTAAAATTTTGGGACTGGTTGATCGACACGTAAAAGAAAAGTAAACAAGATACGTACTTCCACGTGTTCTATGTCATACCACATTATAACTGATGATGTGATTGGATAATAGCGAAAGAGCAAGGCGTTGAAGTGTCCTTTTGATAAGAAGTGGCTTGAAGTCTCCCCCCTTCTCTTTTGTGCCAGTTTCTTTTTTCCTCAAGATCAAAGAAGGCTCTTATTAGGCTGGTGATTGGTTTAGATAGGTTTTTATTTACCAGCACAAACTTTTCCCTTCCCCTTTATTTCCTCTTTATTTCTTAGAAAAATAAAAATTTTTTTCTCTTAGGACAACAAGGTTGTGCTGGCGTTGATCTCTTGAAGTAAAAATCAAAGGTATCTAACTTTAGGAAGAAGCAATTTTATTATTCCCTACAATCACATCTAGAGAATTAGGATTTGGAAAGTTTAAGATAGTTAATACCATGCAGTAATAGCTTAATGAACTTACTCCCTTGTAATGAAATAGTTAGTGAATAGCTAGATTATGTGGGCAACACGGTGGTTTTGGTATTAAGGATTCAAGGATCGCGTACAAATCTAAAACTTGTTGACGGATGTTCTGCTATGATAGACAATTTAGCTATGTACAATGCCATTTATGGTATTATTATTTTTCAAAAATGAATTAATAAACATGCTAATAGCAATTTGATTAGAGGAAAAAAAAAAATAAAATAAAATAAAATAAAATATAATATAAATATAATATTATATAATATATAGTATTCAAATCTAAATCTTTTCAATTATCTTTATTTTCAACTTATAATTCAATATATTTAGTTTAAAATTTTTTATTTTGTTTTATCTTGTTGTTTTTTATATTTTATTTGACAAAATTTTTTTTAAATAATTTAATTAATACTTTATTAATGATATTTTTTTTTGATATTATATAATTATTTATTTATTTATATTGATTTTATATGATTATACTACATATAAAAATTTGACTTTATTTATTTTAAGTAGTTGGCTTTAGACTTGATGCACTATAGTAATAATTTACAAACTATAATTCTATTATATAAAAGAAATCTTAATCTTAATTAATAAATAAACAATATATTATCTTTATAAATTGCATTTAAAGACTTAATATTGTAAACAGATAAGCTAAATTGAGAAGATTCATATACAGTATACAATCTTAATTGTTATAATTTGTTATAATTTAATAATAAACAATTTCAGACTAATTAAGAATTTAAAAAAATAATAAAAAATATAAAATATAAAAATAAATATAAAAATAATAAAATAAAATTATTCTTATTTTAAAATTAATATAAATAACTTTTTATAAGATTTGATGATCTTAAATTAGTTCGTAATCCTGAAAATTTTAGTTCTTTTTTAAAAATACTGTAATTACTTATATAATCAACATGCATAACTATATATTCAATGAAAATCAAATATACTATATTCTAGCCTTGAACTATTTTTATGTTTTTATGTTATTCTTATTAGGATTTGTTGATGTGGAAGGTCTTTGCCTGAAACGTCTATACCAAGAAATAAGAATGAGGCAAAGATCCGCTTGACAAGATTATTGCAAATCAGCACAATTGGTCCCGTTGAGTAATTACACCTTTTTTTAATCATTTTATAAAAACCCCCAGTTAGGTCTTTGCGTATTATTCGAATAAAAGCTCCTGTTGTCTTGTTGCTTGTTGCCGAAGACTTCTTGATGTTTTTTAGTCCAAGTAATTTGAAGATGTTATTGAGTTGTTTTTTACCGCTGGGCATGATGATAACATCGATGTGTTCGGCATCAGCCCAGGTGGTAATTCCAACTCCATAGTTTTGTTGGATCTTTTCAGTATTGTCGTCACTAGCGAGTTTGTCATTACCCCGGACTACTCTTCGTGTGACGATAATCCAGAAACCTGGATTAGATCGCTAAAAAAAGGTTGTAACTTTGAAGCGAAATTAATCTTCTCTTGACTATCTCTCAAGATATGTTCCTCGAGATTACAAGTATTCTAAACACGTGAAAAAAGTAACTACCTATCTTTTATTATCGCGACGTTACAGTTTCTCAGAACTTAAATTGAAAGTTTATTAAGTCAAAGTTCATTGAATTAACCCCTGCTAACTGTATTAAATCATCAAATGCTACTTTAATAATTATATGCTTTGGACGCGTATATCTCTTTCACAGTCATTACTAATTTCCCGCGGTTGTCACCATGTCGCATACCCACCCCTTATTTTATCCGCAACAGCAGGTAAGAAATGCGAGTTCATGGATGGACATAGGGGAATGATAATACTCATAATACTCATTTTTGATTAAACGTGATACAAAATGCGTATAATCACATAGTTGCATGCGTTACTATAATTTCATTTATGATGCAAAATTAATTGGACAAGTTTTGTGTGACGCCTAATCGAACTATAAAAAGAGGCCTCCATATATATGAACTTATAATAAACGTATAATGAATAGTAATCAAACTTATATTAAAACCTTCTCTCGCGATATTAAACCTTCTGCTAGTGTCAATACGAATATCAGCATACCTATTGAAAATTCAAAAACGAAAAATGGTAAGTTTAGATTTGATTTGAAGTTTTTAGGTTAACGGTTTTTTATTATTCGTAGAAAAGGCTTAATCGAAACCCACCTTTTATCATCCTTTGTTAGGGCAGGTGGACGGAGCTACTGTTGTCGATGACGAGACGAGAACAGAATCTTTTAGATCGCTTAAATCTAGATTCGAAAAATTAACTCTACAGCAATCACAAACTTCAGGTTCAACTTTTGTACTTGGTGGAGGCGTTAATGTCAATGGAATACAAACGGCAAATAAACCACAACCGCTACCCAAGCAGCAGCTCCAAAACGAGCCAATTTCAGAATTGACAAAAGATGAATCATTAAAAATCAAGGATCAAAGAAAATCCCCCAAACCTCCTGTTGTTAATTTAACGGCAAGTAATGCACCTAAACCACCAAAACCTGCGCCGCCGCAAAGATCACCTTCCAAACCCATTAGTCGGTCGACATCTTCATATTTAACTAATTCAGCGACAGACCTAAGAATGGTAGAAGATCATCATAATCCATTTGATGACTCTCAGGGAATTGATCCTTTTGCTGATGATAATGACCTGGTCGACCAACCACACCCGATCGAAACTCCGTCATCCAATGTTAGAGTACCTCGAGCCAAACCTCATACACCACCTGATTTTTCATCCCGGAACGACAAGAATGATGATGATGTTCAACGTCATACACGTGCGACTCAAAGGAAATCGTTAACGCCTGTTGCAGGTAAAGGCAATAAACCACCATTACCTGACCGTCCCCAAATGCCACCGCCACCGCTTCCGAATCGTCCGCCCTCACTGCGTTCGCAAACAGGAACGACCATTTCAGGTGAAGAGGGTAAAAGTAGAAAACGTCGTACATCTTTCACA